AAAAACAAATATAAGTATTAATTTTGCTAGATAATTCGAAAAAAAAAATGTTCATATAACAGATCTACTATGAAAAAATAAAATAAAATCAAGAAATATCACAAAAATCACAATTAACTAAGACGATTGGGACATTCATTCTTATGTTGATTTTCAAGACGTGAAACTGTCATTTGCATATTACATGTAGGACAAGTTGTTGTTTCACTGTTAGTTCTAATGAGATGAGCAGCTATATTTTTACGTGTTGTTCGTTCAAATAAGACTTCTTTTACTTTAGCTTCTGTATTTGCTCGTTGTTTACTTTTTTCAATTAATTCTTTACCTGCATTACTATTTTGAATTAAACAAGCATTTGTATGAATTTCAAGTATATCATTAGATATAAGTCGATCACACACTGGACATCGTTCACTATCATTTAATGGCAATGATGGAAGAATAGAATCAATGTTTAAATATCTAATGTTCTTTTTCGGTGAACGTTTTTTAATCATGAATTCATTGATTTTTTGTTGACTACTATTTCTTTCGCTTGTACGAATTGCTATAAAATTTTAAAATTAATTTTAAGTTCAAAATAGAAATAGATATATACAAGTATATACCTGCTGCTCGTTTAGGTCGAATATTACTATGTTGATCAATTTCGTTTTCTTCTTCAAGTATTGAAGCTTCGTTTCGACGACGTTTTCGTTGTTTTTTAGTTTGTTGTTCTTCATCATTGTCTAATTCTTCATTTTCTTCAGTAAGTTCTTTTTGATTAGAACGATAGAATTCTTGCAATTCATTATCACCTTGTTTAGTGTCGTAATACATAATTATTAAAAATTATCTATAAAATTTAACATTTGAAACATAAACTTGGATAAATAAATATTGATCAAAAAGAATAGAAAGAAAAAGAATCTTTTTTATATTCTAAAAATTTTTTAACAGATTCATTTTAGGTTGATTATATGAATATAAAATGCCAGTTCAATTTTCATTCAAGATATATTTTCTATTGTCATATCGATAATTTTCATTTGTAAAATAATTAAATTGTAGGTAACATAAAGTAACTTACCTGTAGTGATAACTATTCGTCATATTGTTTCTTCCATTCCGATATTCGCTGCTTACGATGGCGGTAGTTACTGATCAAGTCAATATGAGTGTTCGAAAAAAATGTACATTGAAATATAGATTCTATATCTTGTGCATTTTGTTTTATATCTACCCATGAAATTTTGTCAGATCAATGGGAATATATCTAACATACTTTAGTTTGATGATGGTAATACTAACGTAATGTTCAAAATATTTCAATACCCTGTAACTATATGATTTATCGAAATGGAAAAGTATCTTCTTTGCTTTAGACTGATAATAATTCTTTTACAGATTGAAAATTTTATTTACAAATTGTTCCTTAATTATAAATATGTATAAAAATGCACATAATAGTTCATTTATCTTTCTCAATCGCATTATAAATGCATGATATACATATAATTTTATTCATTCAATAGTAGTATACTAACTATCATACAAAATACCACGACAATTCTATGAAAATCAGTTGCTCGCGTATTTATTCATATGTAATGTATTCGAAATCACTATGTTGTTTGTTTCTTAATAGACAACTATAAAATCTTAATTCATGTTTCGTGTTACAAAAGAAATATTGCTATTATATTAAAGATTTGTACAATCAGTGTAAGTACAATTTATGCATTATACAGGACATTAATTATTTAAATAATTCTACTTTTCGATGATGATGATATTCGTAAGATTCTTATAATGAAACTTGATAAAAATTGAATAGACAAGAAATTATTGAAAATACATTTGCGTTAACATATTTACTTGTTATCTATGATCACATTCAGTTCTTCTCTACATGTAGCAAGAAAAACATTTTATAGAAAAAAAATTATTATTTTTCACTTTAATAGATTAATATAATACTTGCAATTTATCTTCATCTTTTTCGGTTTAATAATCTGTTGTTATTAAAAATGATCTACAATTGTTTTTACAAAGAATTAAATGATAGAAACAAAATCATTACTGTACAAAAAGCAATGAAAAAAATAGAAAAAAAATAACTTTTTTTATATCTGAAAAAATTTGAGCATGTTTGGTTTGACCATTTTAAGAATTAACTGACTATAACCATTGTTTGTTATTATACAAGCATTTACTGGATAATCTGCATCTGTAAACTGTTTATGTTCAATCGTTGATGTATTTTGATCAATTGTTATTAAATATATTTGTTCTGTTGTTGCATCCATAATTAATAATTGTTGAAAAGAAATAAATGAAAAAACAAGATTCCAATCTATCGTTGAAGCATTAGGAAGTGTATCAGTTTGATGTAAACAATTCATATTATTGTCAAATATACCTATTCGCCAACGACATTCATCATCTTCCTAAAAAAAACAAACTACAATTGATTTCGCCTTCTAAACTAAATATCATCATTCCAGTCCCACACAGTTTATTCGTTTATATTCATTCTAATAACTTACAATTAGAATAGCTAAATGAGTTTGATCCGGATTTGCTCTAATACATCTTAAATGTTGATCATGTTCACATTCTACTATAACTTCATTTAATTTCCATTGTTTTATCATTTGAATTGGCGATGATGATGATGTTGGTGGGAATACCCATTGTTCAATCAACGTGGAATATTTATATAATATATATGTTGAATTTAATAGCGTTGCACATGACCATGGAAGAGATGTAAAACGATGAAGAAATACAAATGATGATAAACGACTATATGAGAATAATTTTTCATCAGTTAAAATAAAAAATAATTTTAAATAACAACTATAATATATATCAAGAATTTTTCCATCGAGATTATTTTTCCATTCAATTACTTCTGGTATTAAATTATCATCTAAACTATTTATTAAATTAAATATAAGAATATGTTCACGATCATTTATAATAAGGAAATCTTCACTTGCTGCCATTTCATTATGAAATGATCTTTGTACAGGTAATTCATATTGTCGACAAGGAGAAGTAATATTTGATAAATGAAAAGGTTTACACGTTTCAATTTCTTTAGTAGGAATTGTATCAATTATACGATTAAATAATAACTATTATAACATTAAAAAAAAGAATTATATTGAAAATAATCTTTCATTCTTACTTTTTTATTTTCATCAAATTTTATAAAACATTCTTTAATTTTTTTAATTTGATATAAACTAACACATTGATTTTGTTTGAAAATAGTTCGAACTGGTTCAAATAATTGTTTTAATTCAATAATAATTTTATTTAAATCAACTAATTTTTCAGTACTTAATTGTTGAATAAAAGAAACTTTCGTTTTAGTTTTTATTTCTATTTGTTCAAATAAGATTTTTTGTATTTTATCTGGATTTTCTATTAATTGATTTAAATCATTAATACGTTCGTTTAATTCATTAATTAATTGATCACGTTCATTTAATAATAATAGTTGATGTATTTCAACATGTATATAACATAAATAAAGATTACAATGAATACATACTACAGAATAATATTCTTTACATGATTCATTTGTTATTTTATCAATATGTTGACAAAATTCATTTATAATTGAAGATGTTGTTGTTGGTTCGATTATGATAATATCATCATCATCATCATTATCTTTCATATTCTTTTCTCGTTTAAATCTTTTTGATAAATTCATCTGAAACATATTTTTTTTCTTTATTATTTAATATTTATATTAACAAATACAACAAGAGAATTATTTTTTTTTCAAAATTATTATCGATTATCTCTTTGCCAAACAATAACAAGTCCCTGTTGATCACATGATGCTAATAAACTTTCATCAGCATTAAATGAAACATCAAATACAGCTGAACAATGTCCTTGTAACTTATTAATTAACGTACGTATTTCTCGATCAACATCATAGAGATAAACTAGGAAATATTGTTTTATTAATATTAATAAGATTTAATTCAATCAGTTTTCTTACCACACATATCTTCGCTTGCACTAACAACACAAAACCCTTGACGTTGAGATATAATTGGACAAAATGAACTATGAATAGTTAATGATTTTTGTCGTATTGAGAAACGTTTTCGAACACTTAATTTTCCATTAGTACTAACAACTCTACAAATAAGATTTGTATAATAAATAAATATAGGATAGTTTTAAAAATTTAGTTTTATTAGATGATTAGGACTCTGAAATATTTGTTACTTTATTGATAAAACTTACTTAAATACTAAGAGTAGATTAGGAATGACATTAGCCAAGAGATATCCTTCACGTCCATCACGTGTTGAACGAAATCGAAACGAAAGACTTGTCACGGAACCATTATTATTGGAAAATACTCTAAAATATTCAAAAACAAAAACATCTACGGTACACTTAATAATAATTTAAAGTATGTACCGTTTACAACTATGTAATTTTCCAGTTGTCATATCAAATAAAGTAGCAAGAATATTTCCTCGATCATCACCAGTCCATAGAATCGTACCAGTCTCATCAAATGTTACACACATTGAACGACCATAACATTTAATTACGCAATTCTATATATAAACAATGTATCTTCGTTTTTTCTAATAGAAAAGAAGAAACAAATAAATACTTTTAATGCTTTGCCAGTTGATACATTATATATTTGTAATATTCCTCGGTTATTTCCAACGGCAATAAAATTATTATTCGATGGATGAAAACAACAACAAAGATTTTCGATACCAGGTGTGCTTTCAATAACACGCATACATTTCCCTTTCGAAATTTGCCATATACGTATACTTGCATCACTACTTGCTGTGACTAATAAATCATTTATTGATGACCATTGCATATCTATTTTAATTTAAATATAAAGATGTATTGAATACACACAATTTAAAAAAACCTACCATTAATTGCACCTGTATGACCTTTCAATCGATAAATAATTGTTGCTGGAGTCGGTAGAACTTGACATATAGCAAGAATACCATCACGACCACAAGTTGCTAATAGACTTCGATCGTTAGGTGCAAACTGAACTCGTGTAACTAAATATGTATTTAAGATAACTAAATCGAAAATATATCAGAAATTAAATCATACCTGAACCTTTATGATGATCAAATATATGATGAACACCAGAGAATGCATAAGTTTCTTCTAAAGATCGACCCATTGCCAATGCTCTATTAATTTCAAGATAAATGATTAATTTTTTTTGTTATTATTATTTATTTTAAATCTTTTCTTTCAACCTGCTAGCTGTTGAAACATTTGAAAGAGATGATGCTGAAAATGGAATAGTATTTGTTTCTGGTATATCATCGATTAATAATTGATTCGTTGTTAGTGCCGCATTTTTTCGTGTCCAGTCAGCAAACGAATCAGCACTCTATAGAACCAAAAAAAGATTATTATCAATTCAAATGATGATGTTTACTTCAGATATTGAATTTATTCGACTAGCATGACTACCATTCGATCTAAGATAAATTTGTTATTAATAAATTTTAATATTCCACTATATTTACTACC